TACCAATTACAAAAAAAACTACACACAGCATGCATTTAGTCCTTATTTAGGTTCAAAAACAACACGAAATATAGCCCACAGTCAGTGCAAATCTGTACCTTAAATCTTCACCAACACATGTAAACCTCTGTAACCTCTGTTCCGTCATTCCAAGTTCATAATAATCCAAAAGGTGATGATAATAGTTAAACATTGCCTGTTCTAAAGATAAATTGTTACAGCTTTACTAGGTAAAATTTTTCTCAAATGTAATATTTATCTCTATATATAATTTTTTATACATATTATATATATATATATATATATATATATATATATATATATATATATATATATATATATATATATAAATATGTATTTTAATTATATTCACTTTATTATTTAAATGTTTTAAAATATATTTAAACTAAATAAACTATTTTCTAACAATTAACTGCTATAAGTTAGTGTTATACAGATTTAAAAACATTTAACATTTATTTTATTTCAGTCATTAATGCGAACTACTAATAAAACCCCACCATAAACTACAGATTTAGACATCAAGCCACACTGTGCTTGCATTCTCTGCCTCACGGGATGTCTCTGATTGGTAAGTCTTATAAAAAGGGAAGTTCTATTTATATGCCTTTGATGAGGTTTTTCGATCCACTGGCAGTATAGTGTCTCTGTCTGAAAGGTTATCTCACTCTGGTTCGAGTCCAGTTGGGATTTGTGGTCACTGCAACACAGCAGTCTAAAAATCTGACCTTCCATGATGCTGCCTTTTACAGGAATAAAAGAATCCCACAGCATAAAAGATGAGAGATCAGGGCTGTTGATATAGTGGAGAGCCTCTACTCCTCCATTCTGCTCCAGGGTTGGATTTCTCTGTAAAGCAATCTGAGCAGTGTGTAGAACAACGCAATGTGGTAATGAGGATTCAGGAACGACCTCATAAACCAAAAATGCTAGACGTTTAACATATCAAGCTAATCTGGAAGAAATGTTTGTGTTTGATCGTTTGTGTGTTATTTGTGTGAGTGAGCCTGTATAATTTACGTTGCAATATTTTTATTTGTTGAGAGTTTTTAGATCTACCTGTGCAGGGACTTCAGGTTGAAAATAGCGGTTTGCCTTGCACAAAACATACTTCCCTTTTAAGGTCAATGTATTGTTGTGCATTTCCCTATGAAATAAATACATTTAAATTCAAATTCAAAGAGCAATGGTGACATTTACACTAGCTAATGCGTTGTTATTATTAATGAAGAACTTTTGTTATGGTTATGTCAAAGTTAAACAAAGCATATTTTACTTTCACTTTCGCTCTCGTGGATAGGGAAACCTTGTAAGCACAGACATCACTTAGCCTATTAATTTTGTTTGTTAGGGCTGAAAGATTTGTTTCAAAACCATTTCTGAATTCTGTTCTAATTTCCAGCAAATGAATAAATGAACAATAATAACGAAGTGTGGTCAAAAACCTGAGTTATATCCTAATACACATGCTGTGCCCCATATGGTCTAAAACCTGACAGGTGGGCAAATCTAAGCTTGTTTTTAATAAAAACAAATATAAATATGGATATAATAAATAATACTGCTAATAATAATAACATTATACAAAAGCAAATTGTTATGAATGAACTGAAAAAAGCCCCCGAGATAAAGAAGGCATGAAGGCAGTGGTTTTTAAATTTATGTAGGCTAGAAAACAATATGTTTTGTAATATTTTAATCCTTTATATTTATATCCTATATACATATCCTTATTATATCGTATATATATCCTTAATATTGAAATTATTTTTCATTTGTAAAGATATTTGCGTATTGCTCTACATCTTGTGTGTATTAAGCAGTGTGTAAACGAGGCGCACAACTAACGCGCTCTGCGCTGGACAATAGACTGGCTTTGTTTTGGTCTATTGAAAAATCTATTACAGTTTCTCAAAAAAGCAACGCACCAGCAATACGCCTCTGAACGCCTTCCTTTGTAAACCAGAACGCCTATGGGCGCACTTATGAGCGCAAATGCATTTGCTATTTAAACAGCATGGCGCAAAACGCCAAAACGACTCTTGCACCAAGCTGAAACTAGCAAACAACTATTGCGTCACACCTTGTGCCACATTGCTCTGGGTGTATGATAGGGCCCTTACAGTCTCCAATATTACCAATTACAAAAGAACTACACACAGCATACATTTAGTTTTTATTTGGGTTCAAAAACAACACGTAATATAGCCAGTCAGTGCAAACCTCTCATCTGTATCTTTAATCTTCACCAGCACACATAACCTCTGTTAGAAATTATTTACGTCATTCCGAGTTCATAATAGTCCAAAAGGTGATGATAAAAGTTAAACATTTGTTTAGTTAAACTTGACCGTTTGTTCATGCTTTAGGTTGCTGAAAGAATCATTTGCACCTTCGTTTTTTCCGGCTTCTCTTAAATAATCACATGCACATTTTTATCATCAGCTCAAGTTTATTTCAAATAAAGACACGCAAGTGCAAGGAAGCTCTTTGGAGAAAGTGAAACCGCTCGCACTTTTAGAGAGCCTCGTAAAACAAAAACAGAGCATTGCAGATTTTCTTCTTCTTGGCTTTGTGGGTGTTCATTAAGAAGACGACTTTAGAAAGGGTACTCAAAAAGTGGTACAGTACAGTGGAAACGGCCATCAAAGCGTACCGAACCGCACCCTACCCTACCCTACCCTACCACACCATTCAGTTAAAATGGGGCAAAAGCAATTTCTCCATACACACCAGCACATTGACACTTACCTACAGGTAGTGTTTATTAACAAAGTGGTCAACTGAGACAGTGGCAAACAATGCCCTTAGATACGTAATATACAGCATGTTTGACCATTTTCACAGATGTGTAAATGCAGATCATTTTGAAAATGTATTGTAAATATGAAATTTTTAAAACATTTTTTTTTAGCTACATCATTGTTGTTTAAATGTAGCCTAACATGCAAACTTTTGAAAATTGCGTCATTTTTATACACAGTTGCTCTTTGATTGGTCGTCTGGACTATTGCATATGATTTTCTGAGACCCTTTCATGATCGTTACTCAAGCACCCTGTGGATTAATATTTTCTGAAATAATAATAATAAAATAAAACAATAAAATGCCAATGCAGACAAGGAGCGTTTTCATTTTAAAATGTAATTTGAAAACAAATGGCACCAAGGATTAATAATCTCTCACATTGTAATAAATAAGTTGCTAATAAGATTGAATCACTTTGAGAGAACACTACTCTAAATGGTGATGATGTAAGCTTGACTCATAGATAGCCTTACTTACACAACTAAACACCTTTTACCTTCTCAAAGAATACTGGATGATAGCTGAGGTCAATCGAAGCAGCATGACTAAACTTTCAATGGCTACAATTATTCCACTGTAAAAAAAAGAATAATAATAATTTTAAAAAAATAGAAGCTTTGGTGCATCAGAAACGGGTTGCTTAGTATTCCAGAGACAAGCTGAATATTAATAACCATTTCACAGGGGATTTTTGTGGACTCTTTCATTGTTGGAATTGCTTGAGGGTAGAAAGAAAATCCTTTCAATTAAAAGTTGTTTAACACTCTTCATTAAAGGATTGGACCCAGATACAGTCTTCTCTCCTGCCTTAAACCGAGGCGTACTGAAGGTGTACTAAAAATTTTTTCCATCCCTAACTAGAAATGTCTAAATACAGAGGCTGATCCAACTATAAAGAGAACTGATCCAACATCCAACCAAGCAATAATTTTGTCTATATTCTCCTGCATGCATTAATTCTTTATTTGTTCATCAACTATGATTATATTGATAATCATTGACTATATTGGTTCCAGTTTCTTTTTTGATTAATCAGATTTCTGATTTCTGACTTCCAGCATCATTATACGTAATCCTCAATTGTTTTATTGAATTTCCCTGTAAATGTATTCAGTGCTAATAACAAAAACTAAACTAACTGACTGACTGACTGACTGACTGACTGACTGACTGACCAACTAACTAACTAACTATATATGTTTCAGAGTATTTAAGCAGTTTTACATAATCCTTATTTGTTTTGCATTATTGAATTTAGCTGTAAATGTATTCAGTTCTGATAAACTGACTACCAAACTAACTATGTGCACATTTGAATAATGTCGGGCTATAAACGGGTTCAGGCTTTATAGCTGTCAACAAAATGTACCTGTCGGGCTCGGGCCGAATTCTGTCGGACTGGGGCCCTATCAGGCCTAATTTTTATGGCCCGATTACAGCTCTACACCACAATGATGTGGGCAATAATATGAATAACAGCACAGCACAACAATGAACTAAAACTTGAAGTTAAAGTTATACTTGAACTACAATGTGTAAGAGATCAACCGATATTATGAAGGCTGATATATGAACTAAAATTTGTTTCAAAATATCATTTCTTTTTGGCTGATGAGTCCAAGATGAGACTTTTATTGGCTAAATATCAGCCACACTGCTTTCTAAGATACGAGTGTTTTATATTTTATAAATATTTATTTTATATTTCTATATTCGCAATCAATCATTTGGGACACCAGGGTTAAACCCCTCCTCTTTACGAGAAGTGCCATAGGATATTTAATGACCACAGAGAGTCAGGACCTCAGTTTACAGTTTCATCCGAAAGACGATGCTCACTGACAGTATAGTGTCCCCATGACAATACTGTGGCGTTAGGACTCCTAAGCCCCCTGATGGCCTCTTTAACACCACTTCCAACAGCAACCTAGTTTTTCACTCTCTTCCAGGTACTGACCAGGCTCAGCCCTGCTTAGCTTCAGTGAGTAAACCGGTCTTGGGCTGCAGGATAATAAGGCTGTACTTATATCATAATATGAGATCATTGTCATATCCCCAAGACCCATTAGCAATGCAGAAATATTCTCTTACATTAACAATAGTTTCCAAAGCATTTAAAGATACGAATCAATCAGCTCATCAGAAATTAGTATAAAACTCTTAAGTCTCACCATGTTAAAGTCGAGGTTCTTTTCCACCCATTCGGTAGCGGCTTCAAATTCGTCATACATCTCCATAATGTACAGCGTGTCCAGTGCGTCCACAATGGTGGCTCCTTTGAGACTACCTGCGGATAAATATGACAACAAACCATTTGAGAAGGCATCCTGTGGGGTTACCTCGAGGATCAAAGCCTGAAATAAACCGATAGCTTTATGATAAAGACCTCAGAGCCTCTGAGATATGGTCACTAATGCCCTGCTTCAGGGAAAATCCTGTGGAGAGAGCAAACAAACCACGGCTACAACAAACATAAACCTTGCAAGTTAACATTCTAGAAAGAAAGCCAAGGTTAAGATGAACGGATTTTACATGGGCCATGTCGGATTACTGCAGTATTTTGGAAGATAACATGAAGGGGGAAAAACACCCCTTCAGGAAAGAATGAGAGAAGACTCTCAATAATATAACAGGTCAATTGTAGATATAATAAATAAACCGGAGCACCTGGAACAAAACCCACACGAACGCAGGGAGAACATGCAAACTCCACACAGAAATGCCAACTGACGCAGCCGAGGCTCAAAGCAGCAACCTTCCTGCTGTGAGACGACAGCACTACCTACTGCGCCTCTGCGTCGCATGTTATCATCATTGTTGTTGTTGTTGTTGTTGTTGTTTTTATTATTATTATTATTAGTATTATTATTATTATTATTATGTAAATCATTTGGATAATAACAGAACATCATCTCCATAATCATCATCAGTAGTATTACTATTTAACAAATGCTTAAATTTATTGTATATAAAACAGAAGATGATTATGATTATTAATATTATAATAACATTTTTATTTTTTATTTTAAATATTTAAAAAATTATAGAAATATTTAAAAACCAATTTGATATTAACAGATCATCATCATCATCATCATGATACTCACCATCATCATCAGTAGTATTGCTAATCCACAATTGCTTAAAATTCTACTCAATATTAAACAGATAATAATTTAATAATATTAACAATAATAATAATAATAATAATAATAATAGTAATAATAAGTATGATGGTTATTATAATTATTATGTGATAACATTTTTATTATAATATTTTAAATATTATAAAATGTATAGGATGCAGTTGGTAGTGCTGTCACCTCACAGCAAGAAGGTCGCTGGTTGGAGCATTGGCTGGGTCTGTTGGCGTTTCTGTGTGGAGTTTGCATGTTCTCCCTGTGTTTGAGTGGGTTTCCTCCGGGTGCTCCGGTTTCCCCCACAGTCCAAAGACATGTGGTAGAGGTGAATTAGGTAGGGGGCTGGATGGGCATCCGCTGCGTAAAAAAAATGTGCTTGATAAGTTGCCGGTTCATCCTGCTGTGGCGACCCCGAATTAATAAAGGGACTAAGTCGAAAAGAAAATGAATGAATGAATGAAATGTATACAAATGTTTAAAAATCAATTTGATATTAATAAATCATCATCATCATCATTATCATAATCTATGAATATTAAATAGATGATGATTATTATAATATATTTTTTTATGATGATGATGATGATGTAATACAATTTTATTGCATTATTTTTTAAATTAATTGAAAATTAACTGAACATCATAATCATCATCAGTAGAATTACTATTATAACTGCTTAAATCTATTGAATGTTGAACCGATGTTGATAATTATGATTAATATTATCATTTTGTTAAAATAATTTTTTTATTTTAAAATTTTAAATGTTATAAAAATCTATAGAAGTATTTAAAAAATCGTTTGGATCATCATCATCATCAGCAGTATTACAATTCCACAATTGCTTAAAAGTCTATTGAATATTAAACAGATTATGATTATTATTTTGTAAAAATATAATTGTGTTGTATTATTTGTAATATTATAAAATGTATAAAAAACATTTAAAAATCAATTGGATTTTAACAGATCATCATGATCATCATTATCAGTAGTACTATTCCACAACTGCTTAAAAATCTATTGGACATTAAATAGATGATGATTATAATAATAATGATGATTAAATATAATAAAAATGTATAAAAATGTTTAAAAATTAATTGGATATTAACAGATCATCGTCGTCGTCGTCAAAATCATCATCATCATCATCATCACCATCATCATCATCAGTAGTATTTATATTCCACTGCTTAAAAATATATTGGAAATTAAACAGTTGATGAATATTCCACCAATTATTAATTAATAATGTACAATTATTGTTTAAATAAAAATAGAAATATATAAATTATTAGCTTTACTATTAATACTAACACTGCTACTGATATTATCCAACTATATACTGCATTATCAAGTTAGTTACATATTTTTATGTAGATTAACATTGTTAATATAAATCTGTAAAGCTTTATTTTGTCCCCAAAATCCTAAGGGGGTTAAAAAGATCACATGTTTTTATTGGGTCAATTCAAACAACCATTTTCGGCATCATTACCCAGCAACACGAGGGGGGAAAAATGCTTCCAATTAAGGTGCTAATGTTATGACATACAAATTTAGGGAGAAAAAGGGAAGAAAAACAATGGCATATGGTAAGTGGCAAACTCCTCCACAACAACAACAAAAGACGTCTGCTAGTAGTTTTTGCATTTGTACTGATTACGAACCCAGCGGGTCGGGCGACACTGTTTTTTCTACTTTAATTATTAAAGTCTAGCACTGCATGTAACCCTCTTCAAGAAATGCAAAGCTGCCAACCAGCTGTGCTCCTCATTTAACAGTCCTGGCTCGGTGTAGTGATGTCGAAGACACAACATGACAGAATTATTGCATGCAATATTTGTACGCAACCTCTCAAACACCTCCTGCCGAGCATTCGTATGCCTTTAGTTTGCGAGAGCCACTGAAATGAAGAAAAATCCCCCAGAGAGTACAACACTAAAGGAGTGCAAGAATGAGACGTTTTTAAACTGCACTGTAAACCCTAATGCTGTAACTAATTAATTGAGTTGAGTTCTATTAACTTAAATCATTAAAATTCGTTTATCTTAATTAACCTTGATGAGTATTTAGAACTTTTTCTTATTTTTGAGTTTGAAAAAATTTAATCTTTCAAGTAAGGTGAACAATTCTGCTGGGTTTAATCTATACAAAATGTCTCTTTAAAGTTTCATTAACTCAAATTCTGTCAGCCTAGTGATTTTGCGTCTGACGTCATCCAGGTTCACGTACGTGCTCATGCTTCATTCGTTTTTTTCAAGATGGCGGATCGGCCTCGCTTCACACTACAGTAAGTAAAATATTTACAAATCCAAGAAATATTAAATGTATGTTTTAATTAATATAATCACAGTAACAGTTCAATGTAATGTAGAGTTAATCAGGGTGCGTTTACATGTCGTACATTACAGAAAACATATTTAGCCTCACTTGTTGCTAACTAACGTTAACATTACTGTTTAAAAAGTTAGAATCAGTGCAATGTTAGCGTTAGTTGTAATGTGTTAACTCTGAATTTTAACAGAGTGTGATAAAGACAAAAATATTTAAAATCGGCAGATTACATTTTTCAAAAAAATTTAAATCTTGGCGCGAGTATGCCTTTTCTCAGCCTGTGCTGAAGTTGTCATGGAGACGCGCGCTCTCACAACCGCATGTCATGGCGCTGCGCTGAACTCCATCCAGTCTGTGAATGTGGTATTATCTTCGCGATCTGTAGGCACTTCGGAAACGAAAGGCGCAAGAAACGTAACGTTAATCATAACTCAAATGATCTCCGCCTAAACACTTAACGGTATTTTCTGATGACGCGCAAAAACGTAGTCTCAAAACTTAACTCTGTCACACGCAGCTTGTTGCTTGCTGATCCATGTATGAGGATAGCCTGACGGAGAACATTTAAGCTGCGCTCCTCACCTGAGCAGGTACAGAGCAGAGCTTCATTTTACACTACCACATTGAGGTAAAGTTGGTTTTATATTCATACATTCATTTAGTAACAACTTGTGACTCGCTCCATATATTGTTTACCATGGTACTTTGTCTATTCGTTCTGAAATCACATGCAAGTATGACATGAAAACAACATTAAACTAAATGCACTATTTTTTTTGACTGAACAATGTTGTACTTTGAAAGTCATTGGCTGCTAATATGATTTCACCATTAAGAATATGCAAAAATTACCTTTCTGAAATTATATTATTAAGGTGAAAGTCTGAATGTGTAAATATAAAACTAACTTTACCTCAATCACCAGCACTGATCAACACTTAATATTTCCTCGCGCTTAAGACGACATCTCTGCATATCAATGATTACCTGATTAATGCGATCAGTTAAATGAGTTTAAATGTCATTTAGGTCAAATGTATTTTAAAGGTATGATAAAAGTTTTTTTTTTTCAATCTATTTTTTAAAATGTCTACTCTGGAGAGAATATAAACAGCCTAAAAAACAAAGTATGCATATCTATAACACATTAATACAAAATTATGTTATTAAATAAAATAATAACAAAACAAAATATTCAAGACGTGGTAAAGAAGACAGTTTTCTGATGTGCAAATTTTGTAGCTTAAAATATATTTATATCTTAAAAATATAAATATTTTAGTCTATATATTTTTACATCATTAGACAATAAGGTACGTTTTGTTATTTCTAGCTTTTAAAATCAGGCCTTAAATTTCTTTGTCGTCCTATTCAGTTTTAGAAATTTCAATACTGTTTAAATTAAATCTGTGTTCATCAAATCAAAGCAACTAACATGATAATCAGCTCTATTGCTAACCGTTTTGGAGGTTAACGTTAGACATCATGTAATTGTACTACTTCCACTCTCAGCTAAATGACACTGTGACTTTGTGTACATACAGAATTGAAGGTCAGGTGTTGCTGACTACAGATAGGTTCTTAAATGGAGGCATGTGAAAGGTGGGTAAAATATTTGTTTTGTACTACTATGACTGGCATATCCAGATAAAATAAATATTACAGTGTATTTATCAATGATACTTTTGCAGCAAGGAAAGTGAAACTTCAGCTAGACCTTGAGTTCAGTTTACAACATGAAAATCCTGATTTCAACATCTGATCAACACCTGATTTTCATCTGAGGTAAAAAATAGATAAGTAAAT